GTTTGTGTGTGTGTGCGTGTATGTGGGTGTATATATATATATATATGTGTGTGTGTGTGTGTGTGTGTGTGTGTGTGTGTACATATATATATATTTATATATATATATATATATATATAAATTTATATATACTGCGGATCGATAGTTTTTAATAAACATAAAACATTAGGCAGCATATGATTTACATACAAAGAATAATCACACATAGAATTAATCAGAAGTATCAATGCGATTATTGGCGACATCCATCGCTAGAAAACATAATATATGCATTAAAATCCTGTTCATCCATAGTGCGAGTTTTGATCCCTGAAGAAAAACTTGTTGTCTGTAGTTTTTCAGTTTATTTGATGTTAAAATGCTAGTACTTACGGACAGTCTTCCATCCATCTTCAGGCATATGTTTTTTTTTCTTTATAAAATCAAAAACTTGAGACGATATACCTGTATGTCGACCGAAAGATGTATAATGCACTATGGATGAACAGGATTTTAATGCATATATTATGTTTTCTAGCGATGGATGTCGCCAATAATCGCATTGATACTTCTGATTAATTCTATGTGTGATTATTCTTTGTAAATTTATATATATATATATGTGTATTTGTATATATATATATATATATATATATATATATATATATATATTCATGGATTTTTTTATACCATTCCTATGCGTATGCATAACTGTATACATATATACATACTAACAAGCTACAAATGGTTTACTTGCACACACACACACATAGACTTTTGTAATTACTTCCGTCCCTTCTTGGTCACCCGTGTTTTAGTGTCTACTGCTAGATTCACTTCCGGTTAATGCATAACTATGGCTGCACAGGTGGGATTTATATTTTCACTTAAATCCTTTCTGGAAGGAAATGATTTCTCCATAAACCGGACACCCAATTATGTCACTTCTTATCTTCCATACTTACTTACTAGTCTAAACGTTTATGGCATTTGAAAAAACCGTAATATTATCTTTCATCAAACAGTTAGGCAAATAACGTTAATATACTGTCTGTCTGTCTATATTTGATTCAAAGTGTCTCATAGGAGAATCTTTTTGAACAAATATTAATGAGGACCTACAGTTAAATTAGCATTTGCTGTAAAAGCATCCAATGCGAGTATGTGGATATCAGCCGTGTGTTAAAATGTCCATTTGAAAAATTTAGAAACAATGAATTCTATGGAATAAATAGAAAACTAATTCTTACACCAAAGTTTTAAAATCTTAAGGTCGTATTCTTATAATCATTGACAGTACTAACTAATATAGCAAACCGTTAAGTCAATTTTAGCCAAACTTTTAAGAGCATCGTCCGTTATTTCATTTTGTTAATATATTTTTCTGAAACCCTGTTTTTGCTTTTTTTCAGCCAAAGTTTAATTAAAAAGTCTTTTTTGATACAGGTTTTCTGTTACATTATACGCAATCTTTGGCTGTATAGAAACGGGATGGCGCCAGTGTTGAACAAAGTATTTTCGTAGAATATCTATTGCATTTATTAATTTATTTTTAAGATTTAATAATATAGGAACAAGTCTCAAAGAGAGTAGAATTTACGAAATACTGAGGAACTGTCGATTTGGTTATTATACTTTAATCGAAAAACGAAACAATTTCAACTCATATATAATTCCATATATACCAACATATAACAATTCAGTATACATATATATATATATATATATATATATATATATATATATGTGAAAAGTGTATATAAATATAAATAAATATATATATGTATAATTATTTATATATTATATGCGCGGTACTTATTAGAAAGCGCTCAATATCAGAGATATTTGGTTGGATAGATGTGGTTTTGTGACCTGGGTTTCACGCTTTAGCGATCGTCAGTTTGTCTGACGATCTCTAAAGCGTGAAACTCAGAGTCACAAACTCACATCTATCCAACTAAATATATATATATATATATATATATATATATATATATTGATAATATATCCAGGGTGTCCATAAAGTCCGTGTGCATTTTAAAAAATTATAACTTTATTTGTATTTGCGATAGAAATAATCTGTAAAAAATGTTATAAAGTTTAATGTACCTAGTTTTAAGTATAGCTAAAATAACTAATGTGATTTCAGGCATTACTGTAAATCACTTGGCAAATGTTTTCCGTGAACTGCAAAATCGTATTACCCTTTGTATTGCTAATGATGGAGGACATGTGGAAACTTAAATAAAATTTCAATAAAACCTTAAAAAATATAGATTTACTTCTTTCTAATCCTTTTTACAAATTATTTCTATCGCAAATAGAAATAAAGTTATAAATCTTTTAAAGTGTACACGAACTTTATGGACACCTGTATATATTGATAATATTAGTGGTCAATATATATATATATATATATATATATATATATATATATATATATATATATATATATATATATATATATAGTTCCAAGCGGATAGAATCCAGGTAGAACTCAATGTCAGGACAGAGTAAGAAC